GAGTGGGCACAGGGTCTGGAGAAGGCACGCCAGGAGGAGCACGGCGCTCCGCCAGCGCTGCTCCCTCTCCGCCTCTCTCGTCAGGGCCGCCCGTGGTGCTGGGGAAATCCAGAGAAAGCCTGCCCTCTTCCAGTTTGAAACCGCTGCCCCTTGTCTGTCACTGTACGGGCCTTGGTAAAAAGCCGCTCTCTGTGAGTCTCCTTTATATAATGGAAGGACTGTTAGCGTTTCTGCTGAGATGATGTCACTTCAGCACATTGTACCAGATGCCTTGTGATGTTTTATTTGTGCTCCATAAAAAAGTTACAGACTGCCTTGGAGTACCTAAAGGTAAACTTGAGCCTAATTTCTTGCTTGTCAAAGGTTGCTTATAATATTCTGGACAAACGGCGGTTTACCTCATGGCAGTAACGTCTGCTACTCTCTTGATAGGCCTTTCGACAGTTAAGCAATTAATAGCCTACACGTGTTATCTGTGTTTTGTAGGTGTCAGCTCTCATTTACAGCGTTCATGTCTTTATTGAGCAGGTTCTCCACCAGCAGCCAAACAATGTGCGGTATCTGGGCCCTATTTGGGAGTGATGAATGCCTTTCTGTCCAGTGTCTAAGTGCCATGAAGATAGCACACAGAGGTCCTGATGCATTTCGATTTGAGAACGTCAATGGATTCACCAACTGCTGTTTCGGTTTCCACCGCCTTGCAGTTGTTGATCAGTTATATGGTATGCAGCCTATCCGGGTGAAGAAATTCCCATATCTGTGGCTGTGTTACAATGGAGAAATCTACAATTTCAAACAGGTAAGCGTTGTGTGGATCATACAACATTTAGGGGTTTTTTTTGTTTTGTTTTGTTTTTTTTTTTAAATTTCAGAACTGGTGGATATTTGGAAAATGTTTAGAACATGGTGGACTAGAATATAAGAAAAGTTTTTAAAAGTTATCAAATTACGAGTATATAAAAGGAAGTAAATTATCTCGAGTTGTGAGTCTCAGTCTTTAATACTGAAACGTCCCTTTTTAATTGGCATGAAGGGCAATAAGGATTTGCACCTTTATATTTTATCTGATTAAAATAAAGATGTGTTCTTATCTCTTGGACAGGGGGATTCTAAACCTCTTTTTCTCCTTCTGTCTTGGCAATGCAAATACTTTTAGACTGTTTTGCTCTTCAGTTATTTTGGGTCATTCTGCAAGGTGTTGGGTGTTACATTGTGATTTCTGCATGTCAGTCTAGGTGGGATATGTCACATATAATACATTAATGTATAGAATGTATGATTAGGTATTTATGTCAAAGCAACAAACACTAGGGATATGTTTCCAGTACGCCACCAAAGTCCTTAAGGTGTCTGCAGCTTAAGGCAGAGATGCTTTGTGGAGTTTTTGAGAGCCACCTAAGGGCACAAAACAAGGAGCAGCTCTGTACTTCTGAAGTGTCTGAGTGTCCCTGATGTTCAGCAGCAGTATTACACCCATCGTCTGTGTGCCTCAGTCCCTGTGCCAAGATGTCTATGCTGCCTGTGTTACTTGTAAAGGGAAGCCATTCAGATCATCCAAATTTGACCTACAGAGCAGCTTAAAATTGTTACTGTTTCTGAATCATGCTGAAACAGAATGGTTAAAATTAACCAGAAACTGAGCGTGGTAGTATTGGAAACCTACAAATAATCTGCTATGTCTTAGTACTTCTAACATCACATTTTTGAAGTCAGAGTCAGGCTATTGTCAGTGACATCAGTAACGTCACTGGGAGTTTGAATAGGCAGGAAATTTATGGGTGTTTTTTTCCCAGTTTTCAAGTACCTGGCTGTTTGAAAGGTGAGATGCGCTTTATCCTGCAGTGCATGTGAGATGTATTATACCAACAGCCTGTAATACTTCCTGTATTGTGCGTTGTGGTTTTTCTGCTGTTGAAAACCGTAAGAATTACTCTCAGTTGTGCTATACACACACTCCTAAGAGGACTTCAATTATGCAAAAGTTGCATTGCCACCTGCAGGAATTTGTTTGGTTGTTCTCACTATTTTATGTACCCTCTTCCTTTATAAAGAGATTATTTTTCAGGGTTCTGGCTGAAACCTACCAAGGAAACAGGCATTGATGAAATGTGAGTTTTGATTAGGGCAGTGAGTTAGTTATTTTAATATTGAATAATTTGATCTGAGACTTTGCCCCATAAATAACAATTGAAACCAAAGAAGTTAAAATGCTAATGCATTAGTTTTGTGGGGTTTTTTTGTCTTGTTAGTGTTTTATTGAAACTCTTGTCTTTCCTCCTGTCTGGTAGATACTGAAAGGACTTGGAAGAGTAGCACCACAAGAACATGAAGCATATTTGGTCTGACTTAAGTCTGACAGATAATTTCTTCCTCCCCCACTCCCATCTGCACAGGCAGAGTGAAAAGGTTAGTTTGAGGAAGGGAGGAAGATTAGGCAGAAGGAAATACTCTGTGCATAAAAACAAAAACACTGAGGAATTGCAGTAACTTCATAAGTAAACCAAAGTTTATTTGTATAGTACTTTACTCTGCAGAGGTGTGAGGAGCGTCTGTGTTCTGAGGTGGACAGAGGTCTTATGTAAATGTCATTATTATCTGTTAAGAACGTGGCACTGAGTGATTTGAGACTACAGTAAATGATGTCTCTGTTTCTGATCCTGTTTTGAGTTGGTTTTTTTTTGAAATAGTGGCAGCCAGCTTCTGCCATTTGTCTGCGGGAGATGGGGAGGCTAGTGCTCCTGAAGGCCAGGGTCATAGGTTTGCTGTTTGACATCTTTGAATAGAAATACGTCCCTGAAAACCTGAGATAATGCAAATTACTTAAGATTGCAGAGTCAGTCTCATTGTCTGAGAGATGATCTTGGGTAATATTTTGAACCCAAAAGTATAATTTCCTTCTTTGGCAGCAGAAATGTTTGCATAACTTCTCAACTGTGGTTTTATCAAAAAAGTGTTCGTATTGAACTGTTAAATGAATGGTGGTGTTTTTCCAATTAATAAGCAGTCAAAGTTTGCAAATGCTTATTCATTGTTTTCTTTATTTTTTCTTAGTTGCAGAAGCAGTTTGGATTTGAATATCAAACGTTAGTGGATGGTGAGGTTATCCTTCATCTTTACAACAGAGGAGGAATAGAGCAAACCGCATCCATGCTAGATGGCGTATTTGCTTTCATCCTTCTGGATACTGCAAACAGAAAAGTGTTTCTGGCAAGAGACACCTATGGAGTCAGACCACTGTTTAAGGTGCTGACTGATGATGGATTTTTGGGTGTCTGTTCTGAGGCAAAAGGTAAAAGCAGTTGTGTTTAGTTACCTAAATAATCTTAGGTATTGTCAGAGACAGACTTCTTTGTCAGGTTTTTCTTCTAAGTGTGAAGGGAAAGTGAACTGTAAGTTCAGTAATAAATGAACTGTATTTAGTAGTATAAGAACTAGGTATCTTTACAACAAAACCCACTGACAGTAAACCTCTAAGATGTTTAATTGTCCTTAATATCTCTAAAATAACTTGCTTATTTAATTTTTTAATTATTTGTGGTCTGGGATCATAGCAGTATAGAGTCTGAGATGTTTTATGCTACCTCAGAGTTTAATGCAGCCTATAGAGTTAGGCTAGATATATGCTACAATAAATTATATTGGCATTTGTTCCCAATGTTCTATGGTGAACTGGGAAATAATACCATGAGAGCTGCTAATCTGTAAAAGCCAAGGATTTCCAAAACCCTACTGAAATTTCCTGCAGCATTGGGTAATTTTCTACTGACACTTACTTGATGATTTTCTCTCCTTTGAGTTGACACATCCACTACATTTTGTTTCATTTTTTCAAGTAGTCATCATTAGTCTTGACACTTGTGTGAACAAATCCAACCAGTTCCAAAAGGGAGTCTATTGCCTAAAATACACTTTGGTTAAGATTGGCTTTGATGATTACTTGAGTCTGTCCCATTTGCCATATATAATTTTTATTATCAGGATCTAATGTAGGTTGACTTCTCCAACAGTAGCACTATGTGCTAGTACTAAGAGCTGTCCCATCTCTGCTTCTTGGGAAGAAAGAGGGAAGTGAATATTTTAGGGTCTGTGTCATGTAACCATCACAGTGAATTACTCTTAACAGCATTTATTCTTAACCCTCTCTTAACAGCAATTCAGTATCTCTGTTGTGGCATCCAGGTGACTACCAGGTGCAAAACATCCTCTTTCACAAAAGGGATATAAATGAGATTTGGCTACAGGTCTTGTTCTTGGCATTCATTATTGGTGTAGATCAGTGAGTTATGAAATCACTAAATCAGTGTCGGTCACTTCAGTGATGCAGTTTTATTACAAACTCCTTGTTGCAACTTGACTATACTTAACCACAAAATCAGTTATTAATTACCATTTGAATTCTCATAAACATATTACACTTTGACATGCATATCATGTAGTCAGCTGGAAAAGTGCTCTTCTTAATGCTCACAGGAATCAACTGTTACTTGCCAATTAGTAAAACTTGCCAGCTTCCTTTCTGTGCTATCTCCCTCAACTTCAGATGGTTCCAATCTATGTCTGCAACATGTCAGAAGCGGAATCATGCTCTAACCAGGGCAGACTTGGACTCGAAATATGCTTTTTTTTTTTAATAACAAACTTAGGAAGTGGAGAAAATATTTTTGTGTATAGTTTTAGTACAGAGGCTGCTGAGTGATGTATAATGTAACCATCCTAGATCAAAGACTATGACTCTGTTTTTTTCCCCACTTTATCTGTAGGACTTACCAAGTTAAAGCATTCAACATCCTTATGTCCTAAAGTGGAACCATTCCTCCCGGGTCATTACGAAGTGTTGGATTTAAAGCCCTCTGGCAAGGTTGCATCAGTGGAATTAGTAAAATTTCATAGCTATAAAGATGAACCACTCCATGTCGCGTGTGATACAGTGGAAACTCTGCCTTCAGGTAGTAAAGCAAAGCATTTGCTGCTTCGTCTGATTAAAAAAGTTAAAAAATTATAATTGTTGAAGGTAAAATTTGCATTGATTTGATTTTTAAAAGTGCCATTAAAAAAAAAACCAACACCTGGAAGGACCTTTATAATGTAGGGACTTAAGAATTGTTTTTGTAGGTAGTCATGTACAAAGATGAACTTGCATGCTTTCATTGTCAAAGGAAATTCAGATAAATAGCTTTGTTTCCCAGTAGTAAAATGCAGCAAAGTCTAAGTAACACTTCTTGGACTTTTTTTTATTTCTTTTCTGGACAGGCTTTGATCTTGAAACTGTGAAAAGCAACATCCGTATTCTGTTTGAAAATGCCGTAAGAAAACGTTTGATGGCTCACAGAAGGATTGGTTGTCTTCTGTCAGGTAAGTAGCAAGAATCACAGGGATTCTGTATCTTCTCTCTCTTCCACCCATCCTCTACTAGCCAGAGGAAAGTATGCTGGCTGTTATACCATGGTGGACCTGAAGTGATCTGAATCTTTTGCTTTTTAGAGCAGAGTACAGAGAACTTACTAGTTTGTTATGCAGTTTTTGAGTTAGCATGTATCTTGAAAGTTTTATGCTTCTGAAGTTTACTGCGGGCTGGAATGTTGGTTTGTGGAGACACTGACCATTTTTAACTGAAAGGAAAGAAATACAATATTCTTATTGAAAAATTACCCAGTGTACCTAGGTTGGTGTCTAAAAAGAAAATAACTAGATTCACTTTGCAGAGATTGAGCATAGAAAAAAGCCTTGGCATGTTTCAGGTAGGAGGAGGTGAAGTTCTTACTTGTTACCTTTTGCTTTAGCCTCCATCCTAGACTGCACTTTATTTACCAAATTACAGGGGACCATCTGGACCAGAATCTCTTTCAGGTGAGGTAATAGCTTGTGGTACAGCAAGTTGTTCACTGACGTAGCTGATCGGTGTTGTGATCTAGTGGGTCAGTTTTACAGAGGTAAGGCTTTGTAGCCATGGGACTGATATCAATCTTATTTACTGTGGTTTTGTAGCACTTTGTACTTGTGGTTAGAGTTCTGATATGCTGTTCTTGCATTCACTGACCATCAGTAATTACACTCATTTGTTGTGAAGCTTTTTAAATGAAGCTTTTAAATTTGACTGAGAGAGAACTGACTAGGTGTTACTGATGGACCATTTCCTTACTCTGGCATCATAAAAAGTAAGAGGGAGGTAAAGAAAATGGAGAGATATGCTGAGTTGGAAGATCCCAGCCTCAGTAAAAAGCCTGTTCAAACTACAAATTTTGGATATAAAATTAGAAGGCACTCATCAGCTCCTCAGGAGCATTCTGCAGATGCAGAATGCATTAGTAGCAAAACTAAGTGCCTGTGCTGGTATAATAACAGAGTATCTCAGTGCTTCACAATTTTGAATATGGTTGGAGGAGTGATTTTGTTTGCAATCATGGAGAGAGTTCTGCAACTTCACAGTGGGAACTCAGGTTTTGATTTCCCTGATTTCTGCATCCAGAACACTCAGTTCATGTGCTCTACTTTCCCTCAGACTCTGCACGTAATTTCTACAGAAGGAGGGTTTTGTGTGTTTTTGTTGTTGGGTTTTTTTTTTTGGTTGGGGGCTTTTTTTTTTGGTGGTTTTTGTTTTTTACAAGGTAGCATGCTCACAAAGGGTATCAGTGGGAATGGGTGCTAATGCACTCAGCTGAAAAATCACGTGCAGGCTGTAGAGATTTTGGCTTATGCGTGTCAGAACTGCAGGCAGGTGTGGGGTAACAGATACTGTGTTTTGCTCAGTATGTCAAAGGGGAGCAGCAAGTAGAACTAGTCAACAATTAACAGAACTAGCTCTGAGAATAAGGTGGAGTTTTCTAGTACATCTATGCAGCTTGTGCATCTCTTGGTTTTATTTTTTGTTTGTTGTCCATAGTATTCAGATCTTTCCACTGTCCCCCTGAGAACGAAGAGAAGGCAAAAAAAAGAAAGTCACTAATGAATAATTTCACTTTGAAGTTTTTAAAAGTTAATTCTACTCAAAAGGTGTGAAACACACTTTTGAAAAATGGTTGGGGAAGAGTGGAATCTTTACATTAAATGTTCTTTTACTTAATTCCTTCTTATTCAAACAGCAAACCAGAAAAAAATTTATTACATAGTTCTGTCAGCAGAATATCAAATGTGTAGCTAAGGAGAGGACAGAGAGCAGTTTTGAAAAGAGCAGAAATCTCATTATATCAGGGTTGAGAAGGGGCATGTCCTGTAGTGGTACAATGTTTTCAGAATAATTTCCGTGTGTCCTAAAGAAGGATTTCCACTGATGCTTCTGACACCAAAATTACTAACAACTGTTACTGAAGATGCTCCGCAAAAGTTGCCTGATTCCCTTGTTAAGCAGAGGTAAATGTGGACATGTACAAGAAGTACCTTGGATTCATACAGCTTAAAAGTGAAGCCCATTCATGAGATTCCACTATCAAAATTCAGTGTCCTTAAGGGGAAAAAAAAACTAGCCAAATACTTAATCAGATAATTTTTTTTGTTGGCAGGGGGCTTAGATTCCAGCTTGGTTGCAGCTGTTCTTCTGAAACTGATGAAAGAAATGAACATCAGTTATCCATTACAAACCTTTGCAATTGGAATGGAAAACAGTCCTGACTTGCTGGCTGCCAGAAAGGTGTAGTGACCATTCCTTTCAGTTTGTTCTGAGCTGCCGAATGCTACAGAGTCTGTGTTAATGGTGCCAACTTCATAGTGTGGTGTTAATAGTACTACTGAGTAGTCACGTTTTGCTATGATGCAAATCAGTTTGCAGTAAATCCTTTAGTACAGCATTTGCTATTCAATTAAGAGAAGCACAAAACCGAAAGAGATGGCACTTTGGATTTGTCTCAATTCTGCCTCTGGGTTTTAGGGTAACTCTCCATATGTCATTTGTATATGTGTTAAATGTTGTAAGTTAATTGTCAGTTTACTGAATTAAGAGCCTTGTACAAACTGTTTGGCATCTGAGGTACACTTCAGGTATCCAGGGTGTCAAGGCTTTTTTTTTTTTTTTTTTTTGTCTTTGGGGCAGTATCTGGAGTATTCAAAGCCTCTACAGATTCTGTTACTTTTTGGGCAAGCAGCTGGATGGGCTGTGTAATCACAGTTGAACACTGTAGTTATGGAGACTGTGTTCTACAGAGACTGTGTTCCCTCTGGTGTGTGTACTGCTGCAAGTCAGAGGAGCTGCTACAGTATCAACTTTTCTTGGCCTAATGTGATGTCATTCTCACTGTGGCAGATGGGGACTGGTGCTTTCACTCAGTTTGTGTGTTGTAAACACAATGTATGTTTAAAAAAATGTTCTAATTGGAAAGCAATACATCATTGTGACCTTTAACGAACAGGTAGCAGCACATATAGGCAGTGAACATCATGAAGTAGTATTTAATTCTGAAGAGGGAATTCAGGCAATTGAGGACGTTATCTTCTCCTTGGAAACCTATGATATAACAACAGTAAGAGCTTCAATAGGTGAGAATGTTGTGGGGTTTTTTTTGTTTGTTTTGGGTTTTTTTTGTTTTTTTAATAACAATCTTTGCTTTATATTGCTCAAAGTTTTGTGTAAAATCATGGAGTTGTCTATTAGATCCCTTAGCTGGCCCAGAACCTGAGAACTGAGACTCCAGGTTTTCTCCCCTGTGGTCTGTTGTACCACACTAAGCCAAAACCAGTTACTGGTTTTAAAGAAACTGACTGTACAAAACCATTGTCAAGATCTGTTCCCGAAGCTTTGGGATGAAAAACAAAAGTTAGATAAAGAAGAAACATCTTTTTCTAAACAGTTCAATCTTAGGTCTATGTTTTTCACTCTGCTAAGTATGAACCTTGGAGGAAGGGGGCAAATTTACTGGTTCTGAGGTACTGGATGTTATGATAGTGAGACAATTATTATTACTCTTTCCTTGCATAATTTTAATACTAAAGTGAAGTATTTCTTGTCACTTTCTAACATGCACTCAAGCCAGGTAGACTTCTTATAATGTGTGTTTGATTCTGAGAAATGAAGGGAGTCAAGAGCAGCTGCTTATCAGGTTACCAAACTGATAAGAATGAAAAACCCTAATCCAATGTGACCTTCTGTGTAATACCAGCTACAATATTTTACCCAGTTGATCTTGTGTCAGCCTAAAACATTGTAAAAAAGTTAATAAGCCAAACAGGCAACACAGTTTTGAAAACCCAGGTCCCTGCATGGGATTTGGTACATGAGGATAAGACTTTGGAATATGAAATATTGAAAGTGTTTCCTTCAAAAAATAAAGCAAACTTTTAATCTGTCATCTTTCTCTGTGATTGCTTAGTATGAAAGATAATGAAATGGATCCTTTTCTTTATATCTGTAATACTTTTCTTTAAAAAGCCTATTATTTGGAAAGATGCAATAAGGAAGTCATAATTCTGATTAATAAATAATTCTTTTAAAAAAAGTTAAAAGTGCTTCATCCAGTTCAACCCACATTGGCAGAGAGTTAAACAATAACTTTTTCTGGTAGTTATGTTCTCCGAAGCTAGAAGATTTATTCAGGACAGTGCTGGAATTAATTAGGGGCTTCATTTCAAACCGAGTCAGAACAACTCCTTTATGTGTTCCCATGGGAATCCTCCAGCATTCCCAGGATCACAGACAGACAGGTCTTTCTGATACTTTGAGGGCTAAGTGTAAGTTTAGATGTATTTGCAGCACTTAGTGTGGCTGTTGATGGCTTTGAATAAGAATGAAATGCTCTTTTAGTGTATTACACTTGTGTGCTACAGAAGAAAGTAGTGTAGGAGAGAAACTTCTAAAATGCTACATTTAAAACTGTACTGGGTGTACATAGCATCATACATGTAGCTGTATTTTAATAACCTTTTTTTTTTTTTTTTTTTGAGGAATGTATCTTGTCTCCAAATATATACGGAAGAAAACGGACAGTGTGGTCATTTTTTCAGGAGAAGGATCAGATGAGCTGACACAAGGATATATATATTTCCATAAGGTAAATATATTCCCTATACAGAAAGCCCGTGAGCTACTTGTTCTTCCTGTCAACAGGAAATCACTGATTTGAAGATATGATGTTTAAATGCTATCACAGCTGTGTATTTTTTGAGACTTTCTCCTAAGGTGGTGTAAAATCCAAGGGATTTTATTTAATCACCTAAAAAATAACTTTTTTAAACTTCAGAAATTCCTGAGACTGTTATTTCTTGTATGTAGTCTTTGCTAGTTCCAAGGTCACTCGGTGATCACTACAACTCAAACATGAGACAGCAGGTAATGTGTCCTTCAGGGCAGCTGTAGTATGTCCCTGTGCTACACACGTATGTCTTGCTACAGGCACCATCTCCTGAAGAAGCTGCAGAGGAGAGCGAGAGGCTGCTGAAGGAGCTCTACCTCTTTGATGTACTTCGTGCAGACAGAACTACTGCAGCACATGGGTAAAATGTCGTCTCTTGGATGCTGAGGACTGACTCAGAAGAGCTTAAAAGTTCTGTTGCTGTTGAGGAAATTACAATAGTTAATTGTTGACTTGTTGTTACTTCTTGAATTACTAACTGATTCAGAATGTAGTGATACTAGATAATTTTATTCCTTCTGTCTGGGTCTCAGCTACTCTAATATGATCATCTGTCCTCAAGAGCAGTAGTAGCAGATGGGGTAGACCCATACTCTGAGCTCCACCTGCTTTGGCAGACCAGGCATTGATCAAGTTCCAGGTATGCCCAGGCACTCAGGGTCCCTGTGCTCTCAGTGGGTGGGAAGCATTGCATGAGAGCTGGCAGTCTTCAGGGTAGTCACCAATCATGTTTCTGGTTTAAACACTGTTGACAAACTTGCTATTGTGATTGCTATGGGCAGTGTTTTGCCAAAGAAAGTTTTAGCAGATGAGCGAAGACAGTGGATTTGAGTGTTGATTTGATTTCTGAACAGTGAGATAGAGGAGGAACAAAACTGTAAATCTAGTTGCATCTTCCTGCAGTACCTCTTGATTCTGGAGCAAAAGACTACTGGGGATTTGTATGCCAAGATGAAACTGAAGTTGTAGCCAGAAGGAACTTGAGCAACAGCAAATCACACTGCAAAATTTAATCCAATCTTCTGTAAATACAGGGTCCACTGTGTTGCCAACTGATGCAGGAAATATCTTGTGTCTGGGGTTGTACTGGCCTTTATGGAAGCAGGGAATTAAAGCTATAAGTTGTATTTGACTTTGGTATTTTGAGCTTTGGACAAAGAAGAATTTTTGAATCTAATTAGCATTGCGTACGAAGGAAAAACATACTGAAAAAGAAAAGCATATGCATTGAGTTGGGTAGCTGACTAATAAAAAGATGTGAAGATACATTCTGGCTTAGAGTTGTCAAATTGTACACTGCAAAAAATAGCATTATTTTACAAAGAAATACATGAATTATAAAAGAGAATATTGTTGAGAAGCTGGCTATAGATGAGAAAAAGGTAGTACCTTTGGCAAAGTAAACAACTTTCCTGCTGAGAAACTTGCATGATATATTGATCCTGCTACAAAATGACTTGCTCAACTTTTTATGACATTCTTGTGTTTCTCTTTCCTATATAAAGATGGACAGGGTGCAGGAGACCTGCCATTTGCCTCATAATTTGTTTTGTGCTGAAAAGTTTGGCCACATATTCAAGGCTGTTTAGTATCACGCTCTGGCTGCTACTATTTGGAGAGCTGCCATTTCTTGAAGAGAAACTGAGGTCAGCTTCGCAGCACTGCTAGGAAGAAAGAACCCTTGTATTAACAAATTAAAGCTGAATTTAAGGTGTTCAGATTTATGGAGAAAAGAGGGAGTAATTAAGAGGAGAGAGGAAATGATGAAAGTATCTGTATCAGTTA